AACGGTGAGATCTTTTCATAGTTTCAACTCTAAAGCTGATCTGATGAGACAGGAGGAAGTTTATTCAGAATGTTTCAGAGTTTTAATCCCACGTTTCCTGAGACTCCTCGCTCTAAATATCCTGAATCTACATTTAAGGCTTCAAACAGAAACTGAAGGTTGTGTTTAAAGGTCACATATTCTCCTCCTAATAAAGATGAACTACAGAGTAACGTTAGTTTGTCCTGATGATGATGAACGGCAGGAGACCACCAGTCTGAAAAGATGTTTCATTATTTATTCATAATTCAGCATTTTATATTTATGTGAGGGCTGTCCAACCAGCAACATTTTGAATCTCCATTAATCGCTACATTTCAAAAGTTAGTGGTGATTAAAGACATTTTGAATCCCGTGTGTAACCCTAACTCTAACCCTATGCAGTAACATGTTCAACCTGTAATATCATGTATGTGGGAGAAACAAACAAGCAGCTGAAATACAGATTGAGACCACAAATCTACCAAAGAAACAAAGGCAAAGAAAATCCGGCCGTTTACATGCACTTCAGAAGACGTGGAGCAGACCATCTGAAAACAGAAGGCATCAAAAGCAACACAAACTGGTCCAGAAGTCAACGCCTCAGAATGGAAACCACGTTCATCAAATGATTGAAAAGAAAGAAACCAAACGGCCCAAATGAAAAACTTTGATTCAGGCCGCCATCTCCTGCTCAGAAGACGGAAGGACAGTTGTTTGGTTTCTCTGCTTTTAACTGCAGCCAACAAGGAAAACGGGGAAATACCGCCACCTGCTGGTGCACCAACAACAACACGGTTTCCCCCTACCTGCTTTTATCCACGGTGCAATGCTGCCACCTGGTGTCCAAAAGGTGGAAGGACAGTGAGAGGATTGTTTCACATCTATGGAGTTTTAGATCAAACAAAAACTAGTTTGAAATGTTTTCATCTTGTTTTAATGAATGGATGACTTTGTGCATGTTGTTTTGTGTGTCTTTTACTTTCCTTTATTTATTGACAGCATGATCTTAGCACTTTATTTAAAGCTTGATCAGGACACACAGAGTATTGCGTCTATATCGGCCTTTGCAGGTCGTCAAAGAAAAGAGTGCAGCGAGGGACTAAAGACGGGAGTGAAGCTGTGACGTCGTTATGAATGACTTCCAGATCCAAGATGCTTTAGTCATTTATTCTACAAAACACAAGAAACTACAACTGCAGTTACCGGGTGGTAAAATCAACTTGTGATGGCAGTGCAGTGTAGTGTGGCGCTCAACAGAAATGTTCTGCTCCCACGCTCAGCCCCTCTCTCCATCTGAGACTAAACCAGGTGAACAGGTGAGTGCGGCTCATATAATCACTGACATCACCACGACATGTCCCACCTGTAACAAGAAGTAAACAATAAACAAAGCAGTAAACAAACCATGAAACCAAACACACCATCAACTTCCATTCATGGCTCCGACACAGAGGATCCAGAAAGCCTCCAGCCTCCACAACAACTCCATCGTCACGCTCCAGGAGAAACCTCACAGCACAGGATACAACAGCATCAGCGTCTGTAACGTATCCACCTCCCACTCACCTGTATATATCAGAGTCAGCAAACCAGCTCCACCAATCAGGACGTTTGTCACCACAGGGAGGACACATAGAGCACTTGTTTTATTGATTTATTACTACCCCATGAACACTTTGAACACTAAGCTGCATGTGATTTAACGCTGTCCTCTTTTACCGTGTGAACTTTGATGATTTAACGACATTCATGAATTCATTTATTTCTTGTTGTACTCACCTGTTAGAGAAACTTACCTGCATCATTTCATTCTTTTCTTTGCTCTCACAGGGGAGGAGGGTCAGGGTCTCCACCTCACCTGTACACAAAGAAACAACAACTTCCCACTTACCTGAACCCTAATCCTAACCATCCATCTCCACATCGTCCTCTTCCCTGCTTTTTATTCTTAAGCTCACCCACAATCCTAAAGCTAACCGTGAACCCAGCAGCCTCCCTAAACCTGACCGCTTCCTTCTCTTCAACACAACCAAATGAATCTGTTTACTTTGAATCTACCATGACATCTTTTAATGTTCTTCTCTTTTACACTTTTAGCTCTTTTTAGGCTTTTATGATCTGCTTTCTCTCCCGCCTACTTAGAGGGGATTTCAAGAGGAGGACCCCCTCCTACCAATTAAAGAAATACTGACCAGGGCCTGTGCCATCTTTGGACCACAAGCTGCTCAGACCTAAGTCCCTTAACCTATATACAAACTGATAGGCTTTTATTTTGAAGGTTTGCACTGTCTTAAGCTGAGAGTGCTTTCCTTGCTGTGTGCTTTTATTTTGAAATACAGTAAGAGCTTCCTGTAGATGGAAGATAAGGACATGAAGTTAAGCACAGAAACAGGAAGTGGTTAGAGATCCCAAACTGAGGTCAAACAGCTCAAAGGAACGGTAACAAAGGTCAAATGTCATGTGTGATGTCATAAGGTCAATGTGTGATGTCATCAGGTCAATGTGTGATGTCATGAGGTCATGTGTGATGTCATGAGGTCACTGTGTGATGTCATAAGGTCATGTGGTGATGTCATAAGGTCAGTGTGTGATGTCATAAGGTCAATGTGTGATGTCATCAGGTCAATGTGTGATGTCATGAGGTCAATGTGTGATGTCATGAGGTCAATGTGTGATGTCATGAGGTCATGTGTGATGTCATAGGTCATGTGTGATGTCATCAGGTGGATATTACTGTGTGAGAGTTTGTTAAAGTGAAATGAGACGTTCAAAGATGCAGCAGTGTTCTTCTTGTCCATCAGTGAGACTACAGGGAGACACTGAGGACCACTATCTACGGAGAGCCTGAAGGGACAAACAGGAGATTAATGTGATTAACTGGTTAACGCTGACAGCTCGTATTTATTTGTTTTATTTCATTACTTTGTGAAAATACGCTCAGTATAATATTTGTTATCACTGATTTTCACGACGTTGTTTGACAGCAATGATGTCATCATCGGGGCGGAGTCATGTCTGAAATGTTTTATTATCCTGCTGAATGAGAGCAACTTTAATTTAAGGTTTATTTTTGTGCTTTTATTGTGAAAGGACAGAGATAGAGTCAGAAATCAGAGAGAGAGAGAGAGAGAGGGGAATGACAGGAAAGGAGCCTCAGCTCGGATTTGAACCCAGGCCGCTCGCTTGGAGGACTACAGCCTCCGTACATGAGGGGCGTGCAAACTAACCACTAGGCCACCGGCGCCCCAAACGAGAGCACTTCAGAGTCCACTCCAGAGAATATGTGAACATCAGACTGAAGTTCCTGAAGCTGCAGACAGAAGAGGAAGAATCAGGGAGTCTGCTGGAAAACATGAGAAAGAAGTGAAGTTAGTTTTGAATGTTTCCGTCAGTCTTCTTCACGTTGAACACAAACCCAGTATCAGATCTGAAACCAGCTTCAGTGTCCTCGTTCTGAGGATCCAAGTGAAAAGACGTCTCAGGACGATTCAGGGACTGAAGTCAGAAGAAAGCAGCCACGTTTATTTTCCACAGGGGAAAGAAATGTGGTTCTAATATCTGTGAGTTATTGTCCCACATGTTGAAGTAGCTGCTGCGTTTAGTGAGAGACGAAGGAAACAAACATGAAGGAGGAAACTTCAAACATGTACAAACTGTTTCATTATTGATGTTTGTTTTCATTTCTTCACTCTAAACTGACGGGAGACTAAAAAGTGGGACCAAACTTGAAGTGTGAATCAGTTCAATGATGGTTCCTGGTCATCATTTGATCCCTTACAGACACATGTGGACTTTAAAGTGCAGTTTGTATGAACGATGTAAACATGTTGTTCATCACGTCACAGAGAGAGTCCTGGATGATCAACATGTTGGAGTGAACGTCGTCTTTACACGCTCTTTCTTCACTGCAGCAGAGTGTTGCTGGATCACAAACTGAACTCAATTTAAACCAGATTTCAGTTTGAACTTGAAGAGAAACTTTACATGAAAACATCAGAGACATGTTGACATGTTTCAATCTGAAACCAGGAGGTCAAAAAAGTCTTCAGCTCCACATTTACTTTAAGAACCAGTGTGTGTTTCACTGTTTGTCCACTAGAGGGCGCTGTCAGCTTGATCTGCACCTTGTTTAAAGGTCATCTCGCTGCATACAGTCACAGTGTTTAACTGATCACATCTGAAGTTTCATTTCAAACTGTTTTTAGTGTTTATTTAAAGATTGTTGATCCTTTAATGAGCTAAAGTTCCAGTTTCAGTCGTCTCTGAGACATGAGAGGTTTAAAAACTCTCCGTAAATGATCCTTAAAGTATAAAAACAGCTCTTTAAAAAACGCTGAGACGAGTTAAACTCCTTTATTCAAAAGTCCTGCAGGTCAAAGTGTCAGGTGAATAAACTTCAAGTAGTTTAAAGCATCATGAAACTCTAAACTGTGACGCAGTAAACAGTGGTGAGATGAAGTCCAGATGTGATGTGTGTAAAGATCCAGATGTTGACGAGCAGGAGGTGAAGATGGTCCTTTGGGTGCTCAGAGTGTGCTCACATGTAAACAGTGTGAAGTGGATTCAAAGTTTGTCGGTGCTGATGAGCAGCTCGTCTCAGAAACAGGACGAAGCTCCAACATCAGCCTCCTCACTGCTGAGAGCCAAAAACCAAAAGGAGGCTGAGAGCCGAGCAGGAGGAGACTGAGCATCAGAGCAGAGCTGACGTCACACTGCTCACACACACACACACACACACACACAGACACACACACACACACACACACACACACACACACACACACACACACACACACACACACACACACACACACACACACACACACACACACACCTGCTGTTCTCTGTGTGTCCAATGTGACGTCCAGTCTGATCTGAGTGTGATATGAAACTACACTCTGAGTGATACACAAACTTTTTGTTTCTGTTTCAGGTTTCTCCTGGATATGTCGTTACTGCTGTCGTTGTGCTTGTCATCACTCTTTTGTTGTCATCGTCCTAGCTGCTCTCTTTGTCACAGGTCGCATCAGTTGTCGTAAAGGTAGTTAAAGAACATAAAGTCTACCTGTGTGTCTCTCTTTAAGAGTCTTGTCAGTATCTCCTCAGTCTTCAGTCTGTTTTTACTCTCTCAGTCAGATCAGTCAGTCGTGATTTTCTTGAACATCATTTAGTTTTTTCTTCCTGCAGACGAGGAGAAAGGTGAACCCATAAAAGACCGCACTGAATCCGACCTTCTAGCTGAATGAAGTCAGGTAGACTCACGTCGTGTTCCTTCAAACCTCTGACTCTGGAACTCCAAAGTTATTGAAGCTAATCTGCCTTAATCCCAACATGAAGATGATTTCATCTGTTTGACCATCATGATGTCATACTTGAAAACAGCTGAGTGAGGGATCAAATCCAACCAGGTGTTTGTTCTCACATTTTAATGAACGCCGTGGAGATCGGGCTTTTTCCAATCAGAGCCCGTCGACTTTGGAACGACCTGAGGAGCATGTTCATGACACATCCTTACACCTCTAACGTTTACTCTGCTTTAAATACACTGCAGCTTTAATGCATGATCATTTCATTAATATCATCTGTGAATGGAATCCAGGGTTTAAAACATAAAGGTCTCCCTGTGAACATCCCAGAGAGCCTCTGACTGAGGATTTAAAGAAACACTTTGAAAAACAGGATTGATGTGAGAAAGTGTGAAATAGAAGTCCCTGTTTGTGTTTGCTCTCCTGTTGATCCAGTGTGTGAATGAAGAAATGAGAGCAAAGGCGCTTTACGACTGACGGAGAATCAAAGCCTCAGTACTTCACTGAACTACAGCTGCTGTTTGACTGTAAATACATGAGATTCTGTTGCTGCTACACTGAGATATAATGAGACTTTAAGATGTGGGACGAGGATGTATCTCTTCTTTAGACTTTATAAAGCCGAGTGTGTCAGGTAGAGACAAACACAGAGCTGAAGTATGCTCCTAAACGTTTCTTTATGCTGCTGATGAATGACGCTCTGATGGTTACAACGTGATATCAGGCTGTGCTTCATCATTCACATCCACCTGCTGGAATAAAACATGATCAATGTTACACTGTGTGTTGGGACTGCTTCTTATGGAGCAGGATTTTTAGGATCAATTAGTGAGTTCACATCATGACTTTGTTGTTTTTATTTTTAATATCAGGATTCATCGTTTTATGTCTGGTTTGAATTTTTAAATTCTAAATTCAGACTTCAGATCTGTTTCCACATGTGGCACTTCTCCTCCTGTAAGTGTTTGATGTCTGAAGAGAAGAAATCAAGAATATTTATATGAAATAAAAACATATAAACTGTAAACATGATGAGATAAACATCAATCTAAGTACATGAAGAAAACAATCAGACATTAGATAGCCTTTACATTCTTTTAACATCAGGACGTTTCACCAAATATATTCTTGTAATATTTAAAAACAATTGTTTGTCTCCAGAAGATGATGAGGGCCCGACATGAGAGAGAAGATTCTATTCTTGACATTTTGACTTTTTTTAAGGAGCCTCTGAAGTCTCCAGAAGTGAAAACTTTATTCTGTGTGCAAAACACAATCATCTTTTTCTCT